TAAGTCACGCCTGAATAGTCAATCCCAATGTAAAACGTAACACCAAACACAAGAAGCAAGCGCATTCATCACCAGGAACATTGCGTGTCCAACGTGTTTACCATGTTTGCGACAGATGGAAGACCTCGCCCATTCCCACATCTCACGCCACCTTTACAGCAAATTTTTCCTGCGAGAGCTATTTGCTCCACGCAGAGCTCAGGTGCGCAACATACTGCCGGTCCTCTCGCCCCTTTGAGGTACACAGCAATCTGGGTCCACAGTCTGGTAACATGCCTCGCTGAGTTTCTCACCCTTTGCACCTTTGGATGTAAAACCCGATAGCGAGACCAACGACCGAATCTCTGGCCGCTTCTCTTCTGGTCTTTCCAGTTCTGACAAATCTAGTCAGTGCGGTCTTCTTCTCGGTCGGGATGCCACTCGGTCAGGCTGCTGTGTTGCTGCAGCAGACCTTCGAACCACCTGGACACCACACACCACGCTTTGGATCGGCGCTATGGTCCATCCTCCGTCACCCCGGTCTAGGACGATGAACGTGAGCGGAACACGCGGGTTACACGGTCGGAGTGTTCCGCTCACGGTGAGCCCAGTGAGACTAGAGTGATGTCGGCCTACCGTCGCAGTCGCATTGCCAAACAAACCTGGGCGTTTGATAAGTTTGTAGATCAGATTCACTACTCCCGTCGGACTGTCAGATGTTTTTTCGGGAAGCACGTTGCCCAGGATTTGGCAGGGGTTCAAGCCCCACCTGTTCGCTTGTGGGTGTTATGTCCAAGGTCTGAATGAGGGCCCTCACGGTCTGCCGGCGCGCCCAAAAAGAGATGGAACAGCGGTATGCTGGGGGACCGCCGGTCTGATCCTCCAAAAATAACCTTACCACCCGAACAGGAGTAGTCGTTCAAATCCTACAGCATTGCGGAAGATGGACGAGGATACAAAGTACCGAGCTGCGATCTCAAAATATATTTAGCTTTAAAAAAGACTGTGTGAGCCCAACAAACGACAATGCCATTGATACTATCGACCATCGTGCAAAGGATCAAGAATGGAAGAAGCCAAACGCGGTCGCTGGTGATATCATCACACCATCGTCAAGAGGTGTGTCTGATCATTAACCCTGCAAAAACAAGAGCTCTATGTTCATGATTCATGCTATATAAATATACTTTATGTAGATGTAAGTTAGTATTTTCCTGGTAGTTTGGGGCATCTGCCCACCACTCGTCCAAGCCAAAGTCGTCCAAATCCCCCAACGTAGTAGTCGACTCGACTGTTTGAAACTCTCGCCTTCTCTTCCTCCAGCAAATCCTGGTCATCTTCCTTCAGCAAATCCTCTTTGGTGATTTCAATCACCTCCATGCGCGCGCTCAGGGACGAACGCAGTTGATAGCCATGGTAGAGCAGAGGTCTGCAGCAGTGACTAGCCGTGGTCAACCACCACGCGGCACCGTTGAAGAAGCGGAACTCGAAGAAGTGTGTGACAGTCAGACATTGATGCACTAATGTTGACACAGGATTAAGTAACCACTCCCTATGAATCAAGCCCAGCTCGACGACCCAATACTAAACTAATTTGAAACCTGAATTCACATGTACATCACCCTAATACTGTTTCCTTACCAGAAACCTCCCCCTATTAATCAAGCCCAGCTGCCCCTAGTTCACTATATAGTTATATAAGTCTTTACTATGTACTTTCTCTTTGGCATGGCTCTCTGATCTATCCTATGTGATCTCTTATCAAGCTTGTGCCAATATACGCAGGGCTCTCATGGTTCTCATGGTTCAAACCATCATCAGGTCCAGGTCATCATCTCATCATCAGGTCATCACCTTTATTAAGGGGATGTGGTCTCCATATACCTCCAATCTCAAACCTTGTTGATTTTGTTGACCTGCTGACCTTGAAAGGGGGGGCGTTTATTAATCAGGTGTTGACACTACATTTCATCTAGCGAAACCTACTAAGTGCATGTACAGAAGTTGTAGCCCTCGCAAAGAACCTTCTACAGAAGCCTTATGACTTTCCTTTCAGCCAGAACCCAAATTCACAAAATGCATATCAACATGTTGTAAATGCATATCAAAAATGGATATCATCTCAACATGTTGAGAACCATCTCAAGGACGCTTTGTTGAGACTACCTACAATTGCCCAGTAGCAGTTGAGGCAACAGCTCCATAAGGGAGGTGAGAAGTGCTTTGCTTCGCTGTTTTGTCAACCTAGGACGTGTGGCTTTTTCATAAGTCACACATGCAAGGCATTGTTACATTTTTGAAGTTACCTGGGCCTTAGACCATGTATTCAAAAACATCTCTACTAACAATAGTCCAAAATCTCCACCAACACATTTAATATACTAACTTTTAGCTCTTGCTTTGCGTGCATCAAACACACAATCCTAAGCAAAGCTCATGACATGTTTGAGCGTCAAAAAAATATTCTACATGACCTACACTAGTTGGAAACCCTAGGAAACAACATCCATTTTCAACATGCATTTTAGGGCACATGGTATGCATTTTTACATCCATTTCCCTGGATGTGTGCTGTGGCCAAAGGAATGTCATAACAGAAGCCATTTCAAGCTTCCCAAAATGTGCCGAGGCGGAAGCAACATCTCCCGCGAGGTGACCGACCCAACGAATGTCCACTTCCCCGTCGAAAAGGGGTCAGACCGACCCAACGCGTTCCCCTCCGCCAGTGTTGCGAACGCACCCACTCTCCCCGCACCCATGTGCGAACTCCGCATCAGCTGCAGAATGAACCGGCCATTGGATGCTATTCAAAAAGGTTGCTCTTGGCATTGGAACTAAGCATCAACTAACCTAAAATCCCAAAACTTTGAGGCAAAGAGTTTGAAGAGGACTGAGCAGTACTCCCTCTGTCCTTGGCATATTCTAGGGATGTTCTCTCCCATCCCTCCATAGCAGCCTCTTTTCATCGGCGCTGCGCATTGGGCGTCACTGCGCCACGTTTTCGATCTGCACTGTGCATTGGGCCTTGAGACTCCCGTGGCCCCCTGCCTGCGCCACTCCCTGCCTTCGGACTTCATCAACTTCATCACCATTCATTTGTAAAGTGATCCTATAGGAACCGACTAGTCTACCTATGGGCTGGTCTATACGGTTCTTCAACCTGTGTTGGCTTATTAAAAAATACGTCATTGTTACGAGACTTTTCGAAAGATCCTCAAAATGCTGTGAAAGCATTTCAAAGGCATGGTGAGATTCATGTCCATGGTCCATAGGGGACTGACCCATTCCTTTGATAATATGTACAATTCAATCAATCCCCGACATTGGAAATCATCCAGTCGGTCATCGCCTCCAAGGTCTTTTTGGGACCTTCCTCAGTGAATTGGGGCCCCAGTCCTTTCAGTGCAGCACCGATGCCGTCGCGTCCTCTGCGTGCTTCCGCAAACGAAGTCGCCGACGTCGGCGAGAGATGGCTTCCACAAACGACGTCGGCGACCCAAATAGTAATTGGAGTGCTGGATGGTTTCTGCACTATCTCATCTATTACATGAGTCCAAACAGCAGAACCTAACTCAGTTAAATTACGTCCAAACACATGCTGCACAGCAACGTCCGTCACCTCCGTCTCGCAACTTTCGACATCTCCGTCCGGCGATCGGTTGGAGTTGGAGCGAACGAACGCTTCGGGGCACGTCGCGCGACGCAAAGCAGACGAAAGAAACCATGGCCGGTATACCGCACGCTAGGTATACGCGCTGGTACGGCTGGTATACGCAACATAACACGCTATTCTATTCTATAGGTGTATCACATAATATAGTTTTTATCTATACCTATATATATAATATATCAATGTCAATATAACTATGTTCAACGTGTCCGCTCAAACCAGCATTCCTCGGCTTTTCTCCATGCAAGAGCATTGTCGAATGCACGAGGTTTTCAAAGGAAACATGTGGCTGCAGCCTAAAGTATTGAA